TTGTCAATAGTGCAGCCATGTTTAAATGGCATATATCCCCACATGGCAAAACTGACCAATCCCCTCAGTGGGCAACGATTATCTTATTTGCAGAGTCCCACTTAATCACTTGGGTGGGAGTTACAAGACCAAGATGAAAAAGACCACACGAAAGCGATCCATCGCACCACAATAACCTACTGTAGTTTGCATTTACTGGCTGTTTCTTATAAAAAAACATATTTGTTAGAATATGTCTGTTGCAAGAAATTGCATTTGTTCACCTAAAAGTAATGCAGTCACCACCACAGGGAGGATTAACTCACTGTCTATGACCTCACTTTTTATTTTGTAACTTCACTGGAACATAAGGGCATGACTTTATGTGCTAGCAAACATCAAGTTTGTTTGCCTTGGTTTTCTCTCTACAGGCTTGTTTGTAATAAACCTGGAACTCCAAAAGATTCCTTTCTAAACAGCAATAGGATTTGAGGCTTTACGTGCCAAGGAGTAAGGAGAAAACCTGTCAGAATGAAAGTACCCAGCAAGGAACCAAGAATGGGGGTTGTCCCCCAGAAGAAGGGGGTGCAGCCTCAAAGAAAAGGGGCTGTGACCCAAAAAAAAGGGGGCATGGTCCCAAAAAAGAAGGGGATGTGGCCCCAAAACAGGAGAGAGCATGGCCCCCAAGGAGTAGGGGCTCCCTCTCAGACAGTTTGACTTCCAGGACCTTGTCATATCCTTACTTAAAATTCTTCAGTGGCTACCTGTTTCCTAAAGGTCCAGAGCCCCTGGGTAGTACAAACAGTTAACACGCTCAGCTGCTAACCAAAAGGTAGGATGTTCGAGTCTACCCAGGGGTACCTCATAAGAAAGGTCTGGCATTCTACTTCTGAAAAATCAGCCACTGAAAACCCTATGAAGCACAGTTTACTTTGACATGTGTGATGGCACCATGAGTCGGAATCGACTTGGTGGCAACTGGTTTCCTAAAGGTCCAGTCTAATTTCCTGGCATTACAAAGTGGACTCTCCATGAGACTGCCCTTCCCACCACTCCTCTCCCAGCCCCACTCCCACACCCACTGCCCACTCCCCAGACTGCACTATTTCTGGTCTGAAGACTCAGCCGAAGCTCTCTCTTGCCTCCTCGCTGGTGCTCCTAGATCCCGGCTTAGAACTCCACCCCCACCTCTCAACTGTTTATTTCCTAGTCTTCCTTCAAGAATCAGTCTTGGCTGAAGTAAATAAAATCAGAGCAGAAGCAACTTTGTTCATATTATAAAGGAAAAAATTTTGGTTTGTGTATGCTGTTAGTTTCTGCTTTAAAATATCCACAGATCACCATATCAGGAAATAAAACTTCCAAGTTTATTTAATCAGAAATAGAAATTGGATTTCATTGATTCTCTTGCTGTCATTGATTAAGATAATCATGAGTTTTTAGTATGTTTCCAGTTAATTATATTAATTTCGAGCTTCCCAACTGGTGAACTTCAAGTGGGTTATAGGTGTACCAAGATAATGATCCCTCATGCTGAAGCCCCAAGGCCAAATACCACCCTCACCAGCAGATTCTTCAG